CCACCGCAGCCTAGACCTGCTGGGCTCCGGCGATCCTTCCGTCTCAGCCTTCCAAGTAGCCAGAACTACAGGTGTGCGCTTCCATGCCCGTCTAATTTTTTATTTATTGTAGGAACAGGTCTTGCCAATTTGCCTGGGCGGGTCTCAAACCCGCGGGCTCAGGCAATCCACTCACCTTAGCCTCCCAAAGCGCTGGAATTACAGGCTGAGCCACCGAGCCTGGCCACCCTCCCTTCTTTCATCAGAGACCTCCCTTCTCTAGTCTCAGAGGTGGCTGGGCCAGTCACGGTTCCTTACATCTCTCCCACCCCAACGAGCTTGGTCCGAGCTATCGGCCTGTGACCTGAGCTGGGCCAATCAGGGCTCTTCCCTAGGGATTTTTGAAGGAAACTGGTCTCTGATTCTCGGGCTTTTGCAGGTGTGACTCCAAACACGTTGGAGGAATGTTGTGCCATATACGCCCTGGGCGCCTTCACTGCAGGGGGAAAGAATAAAACAATACAAAAAGCAAAAGAGAGAAACAGGAATGTGAACTGGGCTGGTTTCAGAGACACTGCAGTGGGCCACAGAGGTCCTTTCCTCAAAGACACTCACACTCCCATTCCTAGAATCTATCACTATGTTCGGTCACAAGGCAAAAGGGCCTTTGCAGATGTAATTAAGGGTCATGAACCTTAAAAAGGGAGATTATCTTGAATAATCTGGGTGACTCAATCTAATCACATGAGCCCTTAAAAGCAGGGAACTTTCTCTGGCTGGAAGTCAGAGATTCTGGATGTGAGGAGTTGGCTGCCTTTCCTGGTTCTGAAATGTAGGGAACCACATGCAGTCCAGAGAGATCAGAGAGGTCCTCCAGGAGCCAAGAGCAGCTTGGAAGGAAACCCCAGTCTCACAACCTGGAGGAACGGATTCTGCCCATACGCTGATGAGCCTGGAAGCAGGATCTTCCTGAGCCTTCTCACATGATCCCAGCTGGCCAATACCTGTATTCTGCCCTTACAGAATCCCAAGTGGGGACATCTGACCTGCAGAAATTATGAGGTTTGTGGCAATTTGTAAATTTAAAAAAATTATTTTTTTATTTTTATTTTTATTTTTTTGAGTTGGAGTCTCACTCTATCACCCAGACTGGAGTGCAGTGACCGCTCCCAGCCACTGCAGCGTCGACCTGCTGGGCTCTGGCGATCCTTCCGCCTCAGCCTTCCGAGTAGCCGGAACTACAGGCGCGCGCTACCACGCCCGGCTGATTTTTCGATTTACTGTAGAGATGAGGGCTTGTCAAGTTGCCCAGGTGGGTCTTGAACCCACGGGCTCAGGCAATCCACTCACCTCGGCCTCCCAAAGTGCTGGGATTACAGGCTGAGCCACCGAGCCCGGCCAAAAAAATTATTTTTATTATTATTTTTTGTAGAGACGAGGTCTTACTATGTTGCCCAGGCTGATAGTGAACTCCTGGGCTCAAGCAGTCTTCCCTCCTTGGCCTCCCAAAGTGCTAGAATTACAGGTGTAAGCCACCACGCGTGGCCTGGTTTATGGCAATTTGTTACAACCACACTAAGAAGCTAATATAGATTCCAAAATTAGTGCCACCCTGCCCCCCTAGTTTGGTTACAGGAGCCAGAAATTTCTCATTTGTGGTTTTTGTCACTTATGACTAAAGATTCCAGACTGATGCCGTTATTGTGATCTGTCTCCTTCACTGTCTCCTGCAAACAGCCTGTCTTTGCAGCCAGAGAAGAGACACAGGCAGCCAGAACTCGGGCAGTTCTTTTTCCAGCCACCTCTGCAGACCTGGGGACACCAAAGGATATGGAAAGGACAAGCCCTCTTGGGCATCGGACCTGCTGAGGGTCTGAGGTGTTTCTTCTAGAAGGCCCAGATCTGCCCCTGGATCCCTCCTTTCTCCTCAGCAGGTCACTGGGGAGAGAGCTAGCACCTGGGAGCCAGGAAGAAGTGACTTCTCTGAGAACATTCTATGATGGCTTGGTCAAAGCTTGTAAAAGTTGGCAGGGTCAAAAGACAGAAAATCTTGATTCGGAGAAAAACTAGTGGCAACAAGATAGAAAAGGCTTGTTTCTTCTCCACATGCAGAGATTCCAGATAGAAGACTCCAAGAAAGAAATGGAGCAAAGAGTTTACAAAAGAGATGTAAAGCCAGCTCCCAAACAAGTGAGAAAGAAATGAAGAGGAGGCTGGGTGCGGTGGCTCATGTCTGTAATCCCAGTGATTCAGGAGGCCGAGGTGGGAGGATTCCTTGAAGTCAGGAGTTCAAGACCAACCTGGGTAACACAGCAAGACCCTGTTTCCACACAAAAAAATAAATAAATAAAATAAATTTTAAAAATTAGACAGGTGTGGTGGCACGTGACTGTAGTCCTGGCTACCTGGGAGGCTGAGGTGAGAGGATCGCTTGAGCCCAGGAATTCGAGACCGCCATGAGCTATGATCACATCACTGCGCTCCAGCCTGGACAACAGTGCAAGACCTCATCTCTGAAAAATAAAAAAAAATAAATAAATAAAGTGGAGGTAGAAAGAAAAGAGGAAGCAAGGACAGGAGGAGGGGAGGCGAGGAGAGAAAGGAGAGGAATGGCATTTTCCACCAACGGCAGGCGGGCACAGTGTCTGCCCTCCAAAGCTGCCCCTTCCTGCCCAGCCTCCTCCCCCAGCCACAACCCGCCCTTCCTCCCCACCTTCTGGGAAATCTCAAGGCTGCGTTGGTGTTTCTTCAGCACTCTGGAGCTACGTTTCCAGACTCCCTCGTCTTCACACATCCAGGGCCAAAGTCTCTCAACCAGCCAGCCTCCTCCCACCCCTCCTACCTTTGCTCTGCCCTTCCCGAGCATCGATTGAGCGACGAGGGCATACAGGCCCCGGGCCAGGCACTGCAGTGGGAATGAACGTTTCTTATACCAGATTATAACACCAAAAGCAGGATTCAAAAAAGAGAAACACTGATAAACTGACCTTCATCAAAACTAAGAACATCTGCTCTTTGAAAGACATTTGGAAAAGGATGAAAAGACAAGCCATAGACTGGGAGAAACTATTTGCAAAGCACATGTTTGGTAAAGGACTTGTATTGATAATCTACAAAGAACTCCCAAATGTGATCAAAAGAAAATAACCCAAAGAAAGAACTGAGCAAAAGACTTGAATGGCCATCTCACCAAGGGCAACAGGTAGATGCCAAACATGCCCATAAAAAGATGCTCAACATCATCAGTCATTGGGGAAATGTGAATTAAAACCGCAGTGAGAAAACTGCTACACATCTATTAGGATCTCTGAATCTAAAAGACTGGGGGCCGGGTGCAGTGGCTCACACTTGGAATCCCAGCACTATGGGAGGCTGAGGTGGGAGGACTGCTTGAGGCCAGGAGTTTGAGACCAGTTTGGGCAACATAGCGAGACTCCATCTCTACAAAAAAGTTTTAAAAATTAGCCAGGTGTGGTGATGTGCACCTGTAGTCCCAGCAACTCAGGAGGCTAAGCGAGGCAGGAGGATTGCTTGAGCCTGGGTACTCCACCCTGGGTGACAGAGTGAGACTCTGTCTCTAAAACAAACACAAAGACCAAAAAATTCTGATCATATCAAGTGTTGGTACGGATATGGAGCAATTAGAATTCTCATACACTGATGGTGGGATATAAATTGGTAGGACATCTTTGGAAAACAGTTGAACAGTTTCTTTTTCTTTTAGAATTGCAGTCTCACTCTGTTGTCCAGGCTGCAGTGCAGTGGCATGCTCGTGGCCACCGCAGCCTTAACCTGCTGGGCTCAGGCAATCTTTCTGCCTCAGCCTTCCAAGTAGCTGGGACTATAGGTGCATACTACCACACAGCTAATTTTTGATTTATTGTAGAGACGAGGTCTCGCCAAGTTGCCTAGGATGGTCTTGAACTCCTGGACCTCTGCCTCCCAAAGTGCTGGGATTACAGGCATGAGCCACTGTTCCCAGCTGGACGGTTTCTTAATAAGGCAAACGCCAAAAAAATGTATACACATTTTAAGAAGGGAAAAAACTGTATTAAAATTGTAATACTCAGTATGTACCAATAACAAAAGATTAATACAAGCCATGTTTGACTTCTGCAGTTACAACAGGTGCACATTGTTTGGTAGACTTCTGTGGTGAGCATGTAAACTGTTCTGACACCATAGCAGGTAAAGTGGGGCTTGCTGCTGGATGAGGCCTTCTGGCTCTTCCCTTGTACACATCACACACGTTACACACAGTACCATGTGTCTCAAACTTATCACAAATGCGTGCAGTCGTTAGGCGTGTTGGAGGATCCGTTGCATGCTCATGCCTCCACTGTCATTGTACTTCCACAATGTTCTCAGATTTCAAATACCACTTCCAAATGGTCTTGTACTTCTCAAATGACAACTGTGCTTCTGTCATTTTCTTTGACTGTCCTACCGGTCGCACGGTGATAGTAGCAATTTATTTGATTAGTGCCATCTTTTGAGTGAACGTCATACTACACCTTGCTACTATAATTCAACTTCAAAAAGGAATTCATAGATAATGTCTCTTACAATGTGCATACACTTTTTTTTTAAGTTGGAGTCTCACTCTGTTGCCCAGGCTGGAGTACAGTGGCATGTTCATGGTCACTGCAGCCTCAACCTGCTAGGGTCAGGCAATCCTTCCACCTCAGCCTTCCAAGTAGCTAGAACTATAGGCGTGCACCACCATGTCCGGCTAATTATTTATTTTTTTTTAATTTAATTTAATTTTATTTTATTTTTTGAGTTAGAGTCTCACTCTGTCACTGGAGTGCAGTGGCCTCTCCTGGCCACTGCAGCCTCGACCTGCTGAGCTCCAACGATCCTTCTGCCTCAGCCTTCCAAGTAGCTGGAACTACAGGCGC